AGCTTAGACCTCTCGGGAAATAGTTTTTCTGGAGAGATTCCTAAAGAAATGATGAAGCTTTTTTGCTTTTAGGTATGTGAACTTATCTGGGAATCAATTACATGGAAGGATTCCACAGAAGATCGATTATCTTCATCAGCTCGAGTCTCTTGATCTCTCGAGAAATCAACTGTCTGGTGAGATTCCGTCAAGCATTTCCTCTTTAGCTATTATAAATCACTTGAACTTGTCATATAACAACTTACGGGGAAGGATTCCAAGTGGTAACCAACTTCAAACTTTAAATGATCCATCTATCTATGATGGAAACCGTTTGTTGGGAAAGATTGACAAATCCCAGAATAATTTCCCCAACTAAATAAGACAAAAATAACACCAAAGATTTTTAGCGTGAAAACCCTCCAAAAAGAGGTAAAAACCACAGGACCCGTAGGCCACTTAAAAATTTTTACTATAATAATGGGGTTACACACTTCACTCTTAGGTGGATCTCTCACAAAATTGGCTAACAACACAACTTCAATTTGTGGATAGAACTTCACAAATTGGCTCTCTATTTTTCTCTCTCGGATAAACTCTCTGTTTCTGAGGCTCTCACTTTGTTGTTTCTTGTTTTTCAGATGATTAAAAATGAACGAAGCATCTTCTATTTATAGAAGAAACCAGCCTCCTCTCTCCTCGAAATTCGCCGTGAATTTCGTTCAACATCCTCCAATTTGTCAAAAGTACGTGGGTCCCTTTGCTGACCTTCTTTGTTTTCCTGCTGTCCTTCTACTTACTTGCCGACCCACGTGTTTGACAAAGAGAAAGAAACGAGACGAGCCGTAACTTTTGACAGAGCGAAAATGCCCACCCAATCTTTCGTTCTTTGATTGCTGTCCCATGTGATCTCCACCTTTTTTTTTCTTGCTGGCCCACGTGAACACATGAGGTGGACCAACAAATCTCCCCCTTCACTTTATGTGTGAAAGGGGTCCTCCGCACCAGCAATCTCTCTACAGATAGCAAGCTTTTCTCTAGGCAGAGTCTTCGTCATCATATTTGTCCCGTTGTCATTGGTGTGAATCTTCTCAACTTGCAGTAGTTTATTTTGCAACACATCACGAATCCAATGATACCTCACGTCGATGTGTTTGGACCTTGAGTGGAAGGTCGAGTTCTTGCTGAGATGAATTGCGCTCTGACTGTCGCAATAGAGAATATAATTTTCTCGGTTCTGACCCAATTCTTGTAGAAACTTCTTCATCCACAGGATCTCCTTGCAACCTGCAGTGATTGAGATGTACTCTACTTCTGTGGTGCTTAAGGCAATACACTTTTGTAATCGTGATTGCCATGAGACAGCTCCCCCTGCAAATATTATTAGGTACCCGGATATAGACTTTCTCGTATCCATGTCGCCAGCCATATCTGAATCTGTATATCCTTCTAATACAGGTTTACCATTACCAAAACATAAATAATGACTGGAAGTACCTTTGAGATACCTGAGTATCCATTTAGCAGCTGTCCAATGTTCTTTTCCAAGATTTGATAGTAATCGGCTCACAACGCCTACAGCATGAGAAATGTCTGGTCTGGTGCATACCATAGCGTACATAAGACTGCCAACCGTCGATGCATAAGGCACCTTGCTCATCTCTGATTTCTCCTCGTCGCTTGAAGGACGCTGACTCGCATTAAGCTTGAAGTGGCTTGCCAGTGGAGAACTAACAGGTTTAACTTTGCTCATGTTGAACCTTTCAAGAACTTTTCTAACATATCGTTCTTGAGATAGCCAGATTCTTCGATTTCGCCTGTTGCGAGTAATCGTCATGCCAAGAATTTGCTTAGCAGGTCCTATGTCCTTCATTGCAAAGGACTTGCTCAACTCTTTCTTCAACTTGTTAATTTTGCCGAAGTCTTGACCTATAATTAACATGTCATGAACATAAAGCAAAAGAATGATATAATCACCATCAGAGAATTTCTTAATGAAGACGTAGTGACCAGCCATCGTTCGGTTGTACTCATTTTTCTCCATGAATGAGTCGAACTTTTTGTCCCACTACCTAGGTGCCTGTTTCAGACCATACAAACTATTCTTCAGTTTGCATACCATCTTCTCCTTCCCTTTGACTTGGAAACCTTCCGGCTGCTCCATATAAATTTCCTCATCAAGATCACTATGTAAGAATGCGGTTTTTACGTCAAGTTGTTCAACTTCTAGATTGAGACTAGCTGCCAAGGCAAGAACAACTCGGATTGAAGACATTTTGACCACCGGTGAGAATATTTCATCAAAGTCAACGCCCTTTTTCTGCTCAAATCCTTTCACAACCAGTCTTGCTTTGTAACGTGGTTACGAGCGGCCTTCTTCACTTTTGATCCTGTACACCCACTTGTTTTTGAGAGCTTTCCTTCCTTGTGGTAATTTCACCAGATCAAATGTGTGGTTCTCATGTAGAGATTATATTTCTTCCTGCATGGCTTTTAACCACTTAGTCTTATGCTGGTCAGTGATAGCTTCGCCATAGCTCTCCGGTTCTCCCCCGTTAGTGAGCATCACATACTCGTTAGGAGAATATCTACGACTTTGTTGTCGCTCTCTAGTGGATCTCCTTAGCTATGCTTCTGGTTGGACTTGTTCAGGAGCTTGCTTTGGTTCTGGACTGCGAGCTGGTGGAACATCATCAGTATCTGGTGTAGCTCCCCCTTCATTAGAATTTGTTGGTGGAGAGACTGGTTCCAGATTCACTAGAATTTCATCTGATTGTGGCTTCTACAGTTTCTCAAAATCCTCGAGCGTCTGATCTTCAAGAAACACCACGTCTCTGCTTCTGACAATCCTTTTGTTAATAGGATCCCAGAATCTATAGCCAAACTCTTCATGAGAATATCCCAAAAAGATACATTGCTTAGTTTTTCCATCCAGCTTGGACCTCTCGTCTTTTGGGATGTGAACAAATGCCCTGCAGCCAAATACTTTCAAGTGTTTGTAAGAAATATCTTTCCACATCCAGGCTTTTTCTGGTACGTCATAGTTCAGTGGAACTAATGGAGAAAGGTTGATTAAATCGACTGCTGTCCTCATTGCCTCCCCCCAAAAGGAGTTTGGTAATTTTGCATTTGAGAGCATACATCTGATTCTTTCACAAATGGTCCTGTTCATCCTTTCTGCTACACCGTTGTGTTGAGGTGTCTTTGGTACCAATTTTTCCAACCTGATGTCGAAACTTCTGCAGTACTTCTCGAATGGTCCGCAATACTCGGCACCATTATCTGCACGTACACACTTCAAACGTCTGCCAGTTTCTCTTTCAACTTTTACATGAAACTCCTTAAAGACTTCCTGCACTTGATCTTTAGTTTTCAAAGCAAAGGCCCACACTTTTCTAGAGTGGTCATCAATAAAGGTAACAAAATAAGGAGCACCTCCTAGTGACTTATGACTCATTGTGCAGACATCTGTGTGTATTAAATCTAGAATATTTGCTTTTCTAGATGGTGGGGAACTACGAAATGCAACTCTGTGTTGTTTTCCCATAATACAATCAACACAAGTACGCAAGGGTGTACCTTTTATTCCTAGCAAGAGCTCCATCTTAGAAAGAATTCTGAGACCCTTTTCACTCATGTGGCCGAGCCGTTTATGCCATAACTCCGTGAGAACTTCTTTCCGGGTGGTATTTACTTCTCTTCTACATAGCCTGGCTTCTGTGAGGTAAAGTGTTGTATCTTTCTTGCCTTTGGCTACTACCAGGTTGCCTTTGGTAAGCTTCTATTTTCCTTCACCAAAATAATTACTGTAGCCATCGTCATCAAGCATTCCGGTGGAGATCAAATTGAGGCGGATATCAGGAACGTGCCTCACTTCTTTCAAAAGTAACCTACATCCCATGTTAGTTTCTAAATAAACCTTACCAATGCCGATAATTTTGGATGCATTATCATTTCTCATCCTCACTTGTCTGAAATCACCTTGAGTGTAGGTTGAGAAGAAATCCCGTCGTGAGGTGACATGGTAGGAAGCACCTGAGTCGACTACCCATGTGGAATCTTAACATGCAAGATTGATATAATCAGCATCTCGAACAATAACAACTTCTTCGGTGACAGTTGCAGTGTCATTTGTTCGGGTTTCTGACTCTTTATTTTTGGATTTTTCCGCCTTTAATTTTCGACATTCTCGAATGAAGTGTCCCGGCTTGCCGCAATGATGACACTTCTTGTCATGCCTCGATCTGGACTTCGACCGTCCTCTTTGTTGATTTTGGTTACGGGGATTTTTGCTTCTTCCTCTCCATTCTTGCTTGCCTTGTCTTTCTGTAACAAGCGCTTCATTTTCAGGAGCATATCCTTCGTCTTTTCATCGAGACTCTTCGTTCAGCATCATGTCTTTTACCATGTCCATGGTAAGCTTTCCGTCAGGAGCAGAGTTACTAACTGACACAACTAGAGTGTCCCAGCTTTTTGGTAGAGAACTCAGCATCAACAGTGCTTGTAACTCGTCGTCTACGGTCATCTTCATAGAGTTGAGCTGATCTACGATGCCTTAGAACTCACTCATGTGTTCCGATACGCTGCTCCCGTCTTTATACTTCAAATTGACTAATCGTCGCATCAGATTAGCTTTATTCTGTGCGGTTGTCCTTGCATACATTTTCTCTAATTTTTGCCAAAGAATGTGAGCATCGTGTTCATTAGCAAAATTTTGGAAAATGCTCTTGTCGATCCATTGTCTGATTTGAGCAGCACACTTTCGATTTAGCACGACCCAGTCAGCATCTGATGTGGCCTCTGAGGTGCTAGTTGTTTTGTCGCCTGTTGTAGTCACCGCTTTCTCCTTGGCATTACAATTGGCTTCCACAGATCTTTAATGTACAAAAGATCCTCCATCTTCGGCTTCCAAATTGCATAATTAAATGCAGTCAGCTTGATCATATTGCCGGTGTTGGTGTTCTCCTCCATTTGACTGCCTAGTCAAAGAGTTTCGCCGAGCTTGAAATTTTTCGGGTCAATGAATAGCACACGTGAACAGTAACGTGAACAGTGTTCCAAAGTGAACAATGTTCCGGCGATGAATAGTGCTCCGGTGATAAATAGTGACGTATGTATGAATAGTCACCGTATATACGTATATACCAGTGTGGTATATGATCTCCTTTTCTTGCCTCCTGAGCCTACCTTGCTCTGATACCACTTTGTTGGGAAAGATTGACAAAAATCATAGGATAATTTCCCCAACTAAATGAGATAAAAATAACACCAAAGATTTTTAGCGTGGAAAACCCTCCAAAAAGAGGTAAAAATCACAGGACCCGTAGGCCACTTAAAAATTTTTACTATAATAATGGGGTTACACACTTCACTCTTAGG